TACAATTATCCCAAAAAAATGTACACCCACTTAACAGCTGACAGCTCAAGTAATGTTTCTCTTCAGATTTAACCCACTGCAATTCATCATTACAATGTGCGTGTGTGTATAACTTTTATAAACATAAAGATATTTTAATTTTCCACTTAAACTTCTTCTAAACTGATTTGCAATATCTCATTTTTAAAGGGCAAAGCTAGAGGAGCAGAAGTGGCGTGCTGCAGAGGCCTCCCTGGGGGTGGCCTGAGCGCCCCAAATCGTCAGCGCTGCAGCTGAAGGCAGCACGGAACCAGGGTGAGAGCTCCTGCCCAGCCCCGCCTCCAGGTTTTGCACATGCCAAGCGGCCGCTAGGCTAGCTGAGCAGACCAGCCACGGCTGTATCGCTCTGTGCAACTGCCTCACGCTCCTCCACCGTCTCAAGCTGCCCTTTCAATGTCAAGAGCACATTAGTGCAGCGCTAGCTGGTGTGGCTCAGTGGCTAGAGCATCGGCCTGTGGACTGAAGAGTCCCCGGTTTGATTCCGGTTAAAGGCATGTACCTTGGTTGCAGGCACATCCCCAGTAGAGGGTGTGCAGGAGGCAGTTGATGGATGTTTCTCTCTCATAGATGTTTCTAACTCTCTATCCCTCTCCCTTCCTCTCTGTAAAAAATCAATAAAAAAGAGCAATGTTTCTGAAATGGTTTAACTGTCAATTCTTGAAAAAAAATTCAGGACTTAAAGAATCTCGAAGATTTTAGGTCCTAAAAGTAGGTTTAGAAATACTATAACCTGCATGAATAAATGCAGGGCCAGTTTCTCCTTAGGAACACTTGTAAGCTTAGAACAGTGTTTCTCAAAGTGCGGGCCCTAGACCAGGAAGTAGTAGCACCTGGGAATTTGTTAGAAAAGCAAATTTTCAGGCCCCATGCCAGATCTACTTACTCAAAAATTCTAGAGGTGGGGCCCAGCAACCTGGGGGTGAGGGGTGGGGCCCAGATCTCCAAGTGATTGTGAGCACACTTAAATTTGAGAACTGCTGGATTACAGCATTACTCTATTATCCAGAGTCTGACTGTACCATTAACAGGTGGAAGGCAAGTAAGTTCATTTGAACCTTAAACATTAAGGAAGAGCTCTAGCATCTGCATCTATATTATCATGAAGTTATTTATCAAAACCACCATATTTTGCTTAGCAAATCCCATAAATTCATTTTCTTATGTCTAAGGCAGTATCCCTTATTTGCTCTCAAAACTACCTTTTTTTGCACTGCAAAAGGAGTTCCTGATATATTATTCTAAAAGAACAAATCTATACTTGCTCTTACATTAATCACAATATATATATATGTATGTGTGTGTGTGTGTGTATAAATATACACACACACACACCTTCATTTTATGAGTTCAGAGCCACTCTTTTTGCTGCTAGTTTCTCTCCTTTAGATACTGCCCTTGAAACTAAGGTGCAATCAAGGTGCTTGATAAAGCCAACTGCTTCACTGAGCTAATATATATATAATTTTTTCTCAATCTTTGGCTGTCCAAACTAGATTAGTAGTCTGTCCACATTATCCTCATAAGAAAATCTGAAGCTGAATAAAACAAAACAAAGTAAAATCCCTACAAGGAATTGAAGTACTTGTTTCTGGGAAAAGACACACTAGAACACATTCAGAATGCCCAGTCATGGAAGGAGTGACTAAGGAAATGGAGAGTTGCCTGATTTAGCAAATACAAACACAGGATGCCCAATTACATTTGAATTTCAGATAAACAACAAATATTGCATGGTACATACTTATAACCCCCAAATTAGTCATTGTTTATCTAAAATTCAAATGTAACCAGGTATCCTGTGCTAGTATTTTATCTGGCAACTCTAGAATTGGGAATACTGACCTTTGGGAAGGTTTTGGAGAGACAATTGTTCTCAAATACATAAAGAACTGTTAGAAAGAAAATGGGCAAATATCAATATAGACCCAGAGACTATAACCCGTGGGGGGGAAATCGCAGGAAGAGCATATCTCACTCAATAGAAGAAGAGCGACATTTGTATCTAGAGGGATTCAAGCAGAGATGTGCTGAGAATGCTGGCAGGAAGTCAAGGTTTGGGAGTGTTGGCTGAGTGATTATGATCAAAGATAAGACCTCTCTGACTTGAACATCTGAGAACCCCTAAATTGCTTAAGTTGCCATTCTCTTAAATCTCTCTGCCTCTGGAACTAGCTACAATGCTCTGGGTAGATATGGATAAGCCCTGACTCTGCACATGGGCAAGATACACAAGGCAGGACAGAACCATCTTTCTTAAAGGAGACACCCCCACCCCCAAGAGCTCTGAATCTAACTGTGCCCATCCTACCGTTGGGACCCAATAAGACATTTATGTGCATTTTTCCTGATGTGTTGAAAAAAGCCATTAAGATTGCGTGAGGCTTTTATCAAAAGCATTTCAATTATTTAAAAACCCTTAGCTGCTTTCAAATGTAAAATTGGTAAATAAGGAAACTCACTCTTTGTCCGGCTGTCCATTTCTGTTTTTGATGAGTCTTGAGTTGCTGTAGCTGGAGGTAACTTCTTTCCAATAGTCTGAGAATGAAAAAGATGATTCTATTTATCAAGATGATTTGCTCCATTACATAAAGGAATAAAATCAAGATCATAATGACGAAATGCTCACAACTGGTTCTGAAAACAGCACACAAGCTTTGTGCTGTTCTGTGTATTGGTCTGAACCTTAGTGACAAACAAGTGGGAAAATCAGGTAAAGAGGGCATTTGGGTATCTTTTTCCCCATTCTTTCTTGATGTTCTTATTGAAAGGTTTATTATATTTAGCAGAGAAAATAAGTACATTTCCCCTCATTTTATGAGAAGTTGACTAGATCTATGGTGGCACAGCATCTAGCCCAGAGGAAGTGCTCAAAAGTATCTACAGAGAGGAAGAATAAGAATGGTAGTAAGAGGCAATGAACAAAAATAGAGAAAGAAGCCTAGCCAGCATGGCTCAGTGGTTGAGCATCAACCTAGGAACCAGGAGGTCACAGTTTGATTCCTGGTTGGGGCACATGACTGGGTTGCGGGCTCAATCCCCAGTGTGGGGCGTGCAGGAGGCAGTCAATTAGTGATTCTCTCTCACCATTGATGTTTCTATCTCTCTCCCTCTCCCTTCCTCTCTGAAATCAATAAAAATATCATTAAAAGAGAGAGAGAGAGAGAGAAAGAAAGAAGAATGGGATTAAGGACAAACAGATAGGTGGGTGGAAGGACAGGCAGAAGTCAGAGTGTCCAGGGCAACTGTGCCTTACTGCATCCCTTTCTAGCCCAAGGAAAATGGCTATTGATACCAGGGAAACAGCTGTCAAAACCAAGGAGCTGGGTGAATCAACCCCCCTAATGATGAAGGCTTTCCCCAGTGAGAATTCCGGCCACTGGGAAAACCAAACATATCTTCACGTTGGACACATGAGAAGGAATGAACTGCATAATTCAAAAACCAGCACAGTGGAATGTTTCTTCAAATATAACTGATTCACCACAGTTTTTAATTTGAAAAATGTCTTCATGCTTCAAGTGTTGAAACTAACATTAAATATGAATAAATCAAAGAAAGAGGATAAGATAAATCAAATCTTCAGTCCCTCATGAATTTTTTAAGGCATTTGTGACAGAAAGCCTTTACATTTTACATGGTGACATTTTTATTTAGTGCTGCAGGGCTTTCTATATTAGACTAAAAAATGAAATGCAAAATATTATGCTATCCCTCAACTGCTGCTAAGTACTCAAACTAATAACATTTTGTGATTTCAAGGAAACATCAAAGAGGAGAAAAGCTTGATGTTATTTGGCTATAAGGTCAGATGTGATGAAAAACTGATCTTAGAATTATCTTTAAAGATCAGGAATTGACAGAAAAAAATAGATGCTCTCAGTGTCATTCGCATTCTTTTTCACCTTCCAACAACATCCTCATCAATCTCCTTGTTTGTTTTTTTTCCCTTTTGGGGACCAGAATAAAGCATCACTATTGTTAAAGCATTAGCAATAAGAACAGAATAATTAATACTTAAGTTATTACTGACAGGGGAGAGAGACAATCATTAAAACACTATGTCCAATCCTGCCCTTCCAGGAAAAAAAGAGAGATAGCCAATGGTTTGGGCCTTACAGCAAATACCTTCCTTTAGACAAGCCTTCAAAGGTTGTATATTCTTATAATTTCCCCTTATTTGGTAACAGATGAAGTGTTGCCCATCATCTCTAATGTCCTGGTTTACCAGTCCGTCCAAGCTAACAGATATCAAATCAAGGAAAGCCCCAGTTAAATTCACTTACTTCTGTGCATAAAGACACAAGAAAGCAAAGTTTGCTCTATTCCCTTTTCTCACTATTTCAGATAATGCAGAACACTGGCCTCTGTGTGGATCTGGTGAAAGGGGTGATGGTGAAGCTGATACTGTACTCACCTCCCAAGGGTGCTGGACCTTAATTCTGTGTCTCTTCATGTGCCATCACTAAAGGTCTAGAGTAAGGCAAGTCCTCCCCTCTCAGCCTGGTCCTCCAGGTGTCCCAGAGATATGGATTATTCAGATGTTTCTCTTTTCTCTAGACCCAAAGAAGTATGGTTCCCAAACCAGTGACACCAGCTTCACTCAGGAACTTGTTAGTAAAGCCAATTCCCAGGCCCTGCCCCAGGCTTTCTCAATCAGAAACTCTGGGGATGGTGCCCAGCAATCTCTGTATGAACACACCCTCCAGGGGATTCTGATGCACACTTAAGTTTGAGACCTACCGACCTAAATGTAGGAGAGATTCTAGTAGTGCTAACCAAATACCTTTTTTTGGGTTAACAACTTGGGTGCCTATTCTCAGACCTACATACATTATAAAACATCTTTTTCACTCTTCTTCATCTCTTCTCTCTCTCTACCTTCTTCCTACCTTCTCTATTCATAACTGGCATAAGAATGTCTCATTGCTACTAAATGAGTCAGTTCAGGGAGAAAATGGAGTTTAGTAGAACAGATAATATGACAATATCACTGAGATTTTTTAAAAAGTGAAGGATTGATTGGTCGGCACCAAGGCAGGGGGTTATTCAATGCAGTTGGTCCTGAGAAGTATTGCTCCAGAAAACATTGACCCTATACAAAGACTTCACAAGGATCTCCTAAAACAAGTGACACCAAGCCATTTACCGTATTTGCCGGCGTATAAGACGACTGGGCGTATAAGACGACCCCCTAACATTTCCACTCAAAATACAGAGTTTGTTATATACTCGCCGTATAAGACTGCCCCCTCTTCCGCACACCTTCCACACACCAAATAAAAGGTAAAACAATATCAGATTTGATTTTAACATTTTAATTTA